GACACATTCTTCAAATATGTAATGACAACACCTTTGAAGTGAAATTTTTAAGAAGAGGAAAGAATGAGTACTTCATTTTTCCCAACGTTGACGATATAGCTAATGTCGAAGTAGACGACTTAGATACTGTTTTAGCAGATCCGGAAATTGATAAAAGAGGACATCATATTTTCAGTTCTTTGCCGAAGTAATACAAACTGAATTTGTGTTAGAAATGATTGTCATTTTCATTTGATTTTTTATATTTGTTTGATCTCATTTCGTCCCCTTAGGATTAATAATAAAACTGATTTTCGTTGTTTTCTAAACACCTTTAAAAACCGAGATACTTTTTTGTGTTATTAAGGGAAGCGGATGATTTATGTTTCTGTTTTTGATCTCATTTATGTTTTAATTTTAAATAACGCATTATAATAAAACTTTGAAGATATATTTGCGTATTATTTATTAAGATATTATTAAAAAGGTAAACATCAAGAACTTTTTTTTAAACCGTCAACACCGTAGGTAGTGAGTCAACTCCGAAGTCAACTAATAACAAAAACTATTCAAAATTCATAAAATCTCAATGTTTGATTTCTGCTACTACTCATAGTCAACTTTGTTGGTACTATAGAATATATTAACTTGCTCGCAACTTAAAAGTACGTCAGGCAATATTTTGAAAATGTCCGAAGTGAATTGTCCCCTTTTTGTAGAATGACCCAATAGCTTTTCATTCTATTTATTATTAATAAAATGACTTTATTGCTCTCATAAAAAATACAAATTAACAAAAACGTAATCACACAAAAATAGAGATATTGCCTGAAAGCAAGAGGCGGCATTTGCATTCAAACATTATTCCAAAAAGGAATAGTGATTGAGCAGCGCTTTTCCACTCAACTTTGTACTCTTCCACGCAACCTTTTGTTCGCAAATTGCTGAAATATTCGTTACGAATGTTTTATACATTATTTAAATACGTTAACTAAAAACAAGTGTACAAAATATAATTCATTTATTTAATAGAAAAGACAAATGTATACATTACGCGGTTTTAATTTATTTGCATTGTACTGATATTTTTGTGTACTTAAACAACATCTTCTCACTTAAAAACAAATAACGTATATTCACTATTATAATAAATCAATTAAGGCTTTTATAATAGTTTTATCTGCACAGTACAAAATAGCTAAAGAAATTAAGATAAAATATTTTTTTGGGATTATTTTGGAAAATAGTGTTTTATATTGTACTTATAATGTATAAATATAAAGTTTTTATATTTCTATATAAATTTGATTTTTGACATTTTCCGCTTTCGCATTTTGAAGGTTTCTCTTATATTTTTATTAAAATTTTTTATTTTAAAATACATTTTAAATAAGAGACTTCTAGCATCATCAAGTAAATCTATGTTTTTTGCTAAATGAGTAAAATTTTCATTATAATTGTTAAATATAGGATAGAGCTCGTTGCATTTTGTTAAAAACTTCTCAATGGACTTTTGTAAGACGCCTTCACTTAAATGTAACGATTTCATTGTTACATGTTGCGCAACTTTGTACATATTATATATAACTTGCCTCGACTACTTAATATTAAAGAATTTACTTTTGTTTTACTTTGGCTTACTTTTTAGACATTATTTTCAACTGGTCTGCATCAGAATTTGTTGGTTTACTGAGTCTAGATAGTTTTTTTGAAAATATGTAATTCCTCTGCAGCCATTTGATTGTACCTCTTTCCAAGAGACTCGCAAATAGATATGTGTCTCTTAAAATAGGAAACTACGTTTAGGATTAAAGTTTTTGATTGATCACTAAATCGCTTTACCATTTTGTTGAATACTTATAAAAACTTTTGAAATATCAAAATATACAAATTTTTAACAAATTGACAAATTCAAAATGTTTTTGATAACTGCCATCTCATGGTATAAAAAATAAAAGGTAGGATAACAACAGTGTCAAAAATAGGACGCCATGACGTCACGCGTATAGTTTGTATAGGCGCGAATTTAAAAATACTGACGAAGTGTGAGGAAAATATATGCTACTTACAGAATTTTAATAACTATTAAAGATATTATTTTAGAACTTACATGAAATATCTATGGAAATTATTATGGGTTAGTAAAGAAAGAACTATGAAGGAACATAAATGCAAATACATACATAAAAAAATATTTGTTGTTTCCTTTTTTTTTTTTAACCGACTTCAAAAAAGGAGGAGGTATCTCAATCATCCGCTTCTGCTTCCGGAATTGTCGGTTCAGTCGTTCTAACCTGTCAGATTAAAACAAGAAAACCGACAATTCCGAAGCAGAAGCGGATGATTAAAACGCACCTATTAAAAATATTGCGCCAAGATGTAGGCAACACGTAATAAGGGTTCAAAATGGCGGAGTTTTCTATCTCCTTTTAAAAGGCACTCAGAAAGCTGCGCAGTGCGACCATTCTCCGTATAGTAAAAGAAAATCAAAGTATGTGCTTTTAAAAGGAGATAGAAAACTCCGCCACTTTGAACCCTTATTACGTGTTGCCTACATCTTGGCGCAATATTTTTAATAGGTGCGTTTTAATCATCCGCTTCTGCTTAGGAATTCTCGGTTTCCTTGTTTTAATCTGACAGGTTAAAACAACTAAATCGACAATTCCGGAAGCAGAAGCGGATGATTAAAACGCACCTTATATTTTGCTTGCTCCTGTCAGTGTCAGTTAATATTATTTTTGGAGTCACATATTACTAAAGAATCAGTTAGCTCACTCGGACCAGTTGAAAGTTCCACAATAACATCCACTCCAAGGATACATATTCAGGATACGCAGAAGACTGCTGTTTTATTGTAGGCGGTTGTCATATATTGTATTATCTGAGTTGCGCAGTGTATAAACTGGAACATTGAGATAAAAAGTGGCGACGCAGAGTGAGCCATCTGATTCTTTAGCCTTAAACTGTGTCATAGGGTTCAAAATGGCCGCGCCGTATGTAGGGCGTGTCGGACCTCTCTCTTGCATCGTATAGTAATCAAAGTATGTGGATTTCTTACATACTTTGATTTTCTTTTACTATACGGAGAATGGTCGCACTGCGCAGCTTTCTTAGTTCCTTTTAAAAGGAGATAGAAAACTCCGCCATTTTGATCCCTTATTACGTGTTGCCTACATCTTGGCGCAATATTTTTAATAGGTGCGTTTTAATCATCCGCTTCTGCTTCGGAATTGTCGGTTTTCTTGTTTTAATCTGACAGGTTCAAACGAATAAACCGACAATTCCGGAAGCAGAAGCGGATAATTAAAACGCACCTGATATTTTGCTTGCTGCTGTCAGTGTCAGTGAATATTATTTTTGGAGTCACAGTTTATTGCTAAAGAATCAGTTAGCTCAGTCGGACCAGTTGAAAGTTCCAAAATAACATTCACTCTAGGGATACAAATTCAGGATACGCAGAAGACTGCTGTTTTATTATAGGCGGTTGTCATATATTGTATTATCCGAGTTGCACAGTGTATAAACTGAAACATTGAGATCAAAAGTGCCGACGCAGAGTGAGCGATCTGATTCTTTAGCTGTAAACTGTGTCACAGGGTTCAAAATGGCCGCGCCCTATGTTGGACGTGTCGGACCTCTCTCTTGCCTCGTATAGTAATCAAAGTATGTGGTTGGACCTCTCTCTTGCACTGTATAGTAATCAAAGTATGTGGGATTTCTTCTTTTCCAATTAAAAAGAGGTTGTTTTATTTGCGTTATGTGTACACGCCATAGCCCGTAAGTTTACGTATGTACGTAGACGTAAAGGATATTTAAATACGCTTGCGCAGATATCAAATTTCACGTATACGTTTACGTTCATAACATCACTTCAACTCTCTAATATTTATTTCGCGCCAACTCTACTAACTCTACGCATGACGTCAGCGCCGCCATGACACCATGCGCGATATCCCCCTCTGCTGCCACCTAACATAATAACCAAAAACAATGTAATTAATCTACCACCTTCCAAAATCTAGTAACTTTTGTTTCATCCATTTTACATTTAAGCAATAAAGAAAGCGAATGGACTAGGAGTATATCCGAGACTATATCATGATGACGGTAATATATCATATCTGACACCGATAACATTTCAATCTGGGATTTATTATAGAGTAAGATCCCAAAACGATAAGACATAACATATTTTCTAAAAGATGAAACTTTAAGTTCTCAGTAGTGTCTCATGTACTTTGTATACCTGCGTATTTGTGAAGTTTGCCCAGTGACACCTGGGCAGGTACCAGGTGAGAAAGGTGACTAAAAATAAGAGTTACTTAACTTAAATGTATATGGCTGATTTTTATATATATTTAATAGAATATAATTTTCGAGTAGTATCGCAAGAATGAGACACTTTCCATGGACCAAAACTTTTGTCAGACGCTTTAAAGCTTCACCAAAAATAAATGAACTTCACTTATTTTTTAATGTCTGATTTTTGAATATGTTATCGATATAACTATTACAAAATTATATTTAATCAGTCAGACAAATTGGAATGACCAAAAATCCCCTAAACACAAAAATTATTCGGCCGTGAGTACGAGCGCGAGAGCACTATGCGCATGCGTGTTAGAGCAAAGAATTTAAATATTCCAAAAAGTACTTACTGCTTTCGATAAAATATTTTTGCATCTCTATTTAAATAAAATGATTCAACATTAAGGTAATAATTAATAATTATTAAAGTAAAACAATTTGTTGCATATATTCGGTAAATTAATTTTTTTTTCGGAGTAATTGTGTTTTATAAAAAAATATTTTTATTTTTTTTTTACCAAAGATAACAGTTTTTACATTTTTAAGAAAAAATAATTTTAGTAAAAAAGAAAATAACTATAGTTAGTAAGTGAAAGTATTTGATTGTCCTTATCATCGTTATCATCATCAAAATAATCATTAGAATTTTCATTATTGAGCCAGTCATATTGTCCATTCGAGTCATCATTCTCATCGTCATCATTTATGTTGTTGTCGTTGCTGTCAGCTTCTTCTGTAAAAAACAAATAAAAGAATTACAAAACATAAAACTACAAATATAAAACAAAAAATAAATTGTAAACCTAAAGTTAAAGTATAGTACCTGGATCTCGAAGTGCTTCACTGACTTCTCCTGGTAATTGGTCACCATCAAACCAATGAAAGTGATACTGGTTTTCTTCTAACGTCCAGCCATTATTTTCAGGAGTAAAGATGGTTGGTTGTTTTTCATTTGCTAGCAATGTTATTAGCTCGGAGATATTGTTGAAATAATTCAGTTTTGCATGGTGGTAAATTGCTAGCATCAAAATTTTTTAAACTTTTTGGTTTAAATTCTTCGTTTACATCAGAAACAGTATAATTATTTAAAAACAGCTGAAGTCGGGCAGCATCAACATCAAGTGATCCAGAAACATAAATTTCGCAGATAAATTTTTTTACTCTGTTAAAAATATCCTGTTGTATGTGTGCTCCGGTAAACGACTCTGGGCTTCCAAATTGCATGAAAGCAAGCTGATATTCAATTTATTTAAAAAACTGTTTTTATCGCACGCATGCAGTGGTAATCTTTTTAATTTGTGTCTTTTAGTTTTTTGACCACAATATATACATGCGTGGTTTTCGTCAGTATTCACATCACTTTCAAATGAAATGTTATGAGGAGTAGAATCAACGATACATTCAAATACTACAGGAGATTCTTCAGAAAAAGATAATACTGGTTCATTTGATACTAATTCAACTGCTGGCTTCGGTATTACAACAGGTTCAGGTACAGTACTACCTAGACTTGAGTTTGATGCTATATCTGAATCCGTAACAGTAGAATAAGTTTGTTGACTTGAAGCACTTGGTGTATATGCGTCATTGTTGACAGTGGGATTAGTTGGTAGGGTTGATGTCGATGGTACTGATGTATTTTCACCAATACTCGATGCATTTTTTTTCTTTTGCATTTTTTTGGTTTTTCTGAAGTTGCAGAATAATACTTTTTTTGGCAACGCAGTAAAACCTGTCGTCCAAATCGTCTGGTAAAACGATGTCTTTGAATTTTATGTTATGAATTTTTCGTTGTCTCAAAATGATCTTGCACTTTTTAAATGTCTCTTCGGAGATTTTTTTACAAAATACACATTTCAATGATTCTTCTTCCATAATATTCACTATTGCAAATAAATAATTATCACTCACAACTGGCACGATGTAAACAACAAAAACATGTGCTCTCAGAGATCCGAACATTCTCGGTCCGAACTATACTAATGTATACTATACGTTGCGCGCACATACATAGTAGACTGAAACAGAATGTGAGTTAAAGAAGGAGAACCGGGTTACTATGGACGTCTCACTCGCTCTGAAACGCATGCATAATGCTCTCGCGCTCGTACTCACGGCCGAATAATTTTTGTGTTTAGGGGATTTTTGGTCATTCCAATTTGTCTGACTGATTAAATATAATTTTGTAATAGTTATCTCGATAACATATTTAAAAATTAGACATTAAAAAATAAGTGAAGTTAATTTATTTTTGGTGGAGCTTTAAAGCGCCTGACAAAAGTTTTGGTCCATGGCAAGTGTCTGACACTTGCGATACTACTTGAGAATGATATGCTATTAAATATATATAAAAATCATCCATATAAATTTAAGTTAAGTAACTCTTATTTTTAGTCACCTTTCTCACCTGGTACCTGCCCAGGAGTCACTGGGCAAACTTCACAAAAATGCAGGTATACAAAGTACATGAAACACTACTGAGAACTTAAAGTTTCATCTTTTAGAAAATAAGCTATGTCTTATTGCTCTGGGATCTTGGACTATTACAAGGATGGCTTCAAGTCGAATTGTTAGAGGGAGCCATTGCCATTAGCCATTCCTATTTATCATATTTTTTTTGATAAAATTTTAATTTTGAAGGGGCATGGCCATGCAGCTGCCCTTGATTAAGTATATCTTGTTCCTGTTTACCTCGGTAACACATATCGCAATTCTGCCTGTTCCTAAGATGATATTGTTAAACTTACATGTTACAGCTTCGTTCGGTTGATGTAAATAGATTTGAAAACCATGCGTGGAAACACCGTAATCATTCAGCCGTTGATTTCTATTGTCGTGAAACATATAAAATACGTAACCACCAGATATGGAAAAAATGTCGGTTGGTCTTAATGGTTGAAAAGTGAAACATCTTCCTCTCTTTATATGAAATGAAGGTGTGATTTTTAAACCTGAAAAATGCAAGCAAAACAATTTTTTTTTTATATCAGATTAAACAAATTTGTAGCGTTTTTGATTCCCATAAATGAAGAGCGGTAATAGATCTACTACTACTTTAGTATTTCTATTTTACTGTTTTACTTAGTAGAAGATCGCTGAATTTTGGAACAGAGTTATCAAGTGGTTCTGCATATGATTTGCTTCTTACATTTTTCTAGGATAATAAAATGAGATTTTGTATTGCTTGATTAAATATTGGAACTATGAAGCAGAGAGATAATAACCGTTGCATATTGCAAAATGATTCGATTCATTGGGTACAGATCCGCATTTGAGAAGAAAGGCTTCGGGCAACCTCTTTAAACTCCTCCTAATATGACTACCAAGCAGGAAAATCGCTAGATCATACCCTAATAGGCAAAATCAGCCATTTTCTAAAAACCGGGGAATATGTGTTGGGTGCGTTCCTAGACATATAAGGCGCGTTCAATGACGCTCTTCCTTCGTCTCCGTTTACTTCTATTGAAAGAAGACAAACTGACCTGTAACTAGATCAAAAGCATGTTTGGAAACCGGAATATCAATTTATCACTTCAGGGTTCAGGCATGCCAGAGGATGTCCACAAGACGGCGTACTTTCACTCCTACTGTGTACCATTCTATTAGATTACATGCTAGACGATCCCTCTCGATAGGGGCTAGATTCCCAATGCTATGCGAATGATCTGGTTATCATAATGACGGGAAAATGCATCTTTCAACAAGTCCTAAATAAGATCAACAGATGTCTGTTAATTCCTGGAAAACAATTAACGCGCCCTTCACCAAGAAAATTCGGCAAGCTTCGACTACCTAACCGGGAAAACCATTTCTTTTGCGGAGAAGGTGAAATAACTAGGTATTGTCCTAGATAATAAACTCACCTGTCATACCAAATTGGAAAAAACAACGCCAGATTATCCCTCTGGACTCTCAGAAGGATATGCAATAAAGCATGGGGGATCAGCTCTCAACTGGATTTATCAAACTATGGTAAAACCCATGGTAAAGCACGGTTCAGTCTTCTGGTGGGACAAGGAACTTCAAAAGACAGCCAGAGCAAAGCTGAAATCTAGCGACATGCATGCGTCGTCGACGAAATCACACTGACAGAAGCATGGAGACCATGATGTATCAAAACCCTCTCCAGATAAAGGCAGGACATAATGGTCTCCTATAGACTCCTGACGGTGAGTAGTCAATGCAATGAAAAACTGCTCTGGGACAAAACGGGGGGCTGATAAGTGAAAATAGGAACCATCATATTCGCGGAATGGTCTCAGACTATCCAGTTCCCCGACAGCACAAAGAAAAGTCATTGCAGAAAGAGACTTTTGGAGCAGGTAGAAGAAAATGGTCTCCCAGGCGGACTCTGTGTTGGATACGGAAAGGTCAAAATTTGAAAAAGGAGTAGGAGCAAGTGTTTGGGCCAGAAGTCAAAGAGTTGACATATCAGTAAACCGCGGCACTCTGGCCATGATCTTCTAAGCAGAAATAATCGCTATAGAATTGGAAACGGGAGGGTTAATTAATTTTCTGCCCGCTAACAAGACTACAGGAATATTTTTGAATAACCAGACGTTCCTCAAGGCACTAAACTTCAATTTAGTTGACTTAAAGCTTATTTGGAACTATATTAATACCCTTGAGTGACTCGGTTCCCGAAACCAAGTTAATTTGAACGTGGAAGACAAATCTGCTGAGAATATTTTATTTACCTGCTCCGCTTTGGAAAGAACTAGGTTCCAGAGGTTCGGAATTACCCTCTACTGGAGCCTACCAACTTTAAACAAGTCTCACAAAACTCAACCTTGGCATTCACCAGAAGGTGTGGCTTGTACGGTGAACTATAAGCTAGACATGAAATACAATAGATTCATCTGTATCGCTGTATCCCATTCTTTTTCAACCTTACCTAACTAAGTCCATTTTAATTATCAAATTTGTAAGAAATATATTGAATAATACTGACCTGTTCAAATTATTTTTAAGGATTCACTACTTACTTAATTTGGGATATTTTGAAGAGTAGCCCTGAGAACCGTAAGCGATTTGACCAAAAATGTCATGAAAATTATACGTTGTGGCATCGAAGAAATTGGTCAAATTAAATTTAAAAAAATCGAAATTACGAAAGGCGTTAGGAGATTCTATTGATGAAGTTAGTACACCAAATGGCTAAAAAAAAATAATATGTTAGTAAGTATAAAATTGAACATGTGGGAGGATTATTTTTACACCTAGTGAAAACAACCTTTCAGCTAACGATTTGCCTTGAGCACCAGCTTTTATATCGTTATGGCTTCTATATCGTGGTGTACTCCACGGCACTAATTTGTATTCGTATAATAAGTAGCTTCAGTGGAGGTTAGAAGAAACTCTGGAGAACGGCTAATAAAAGTGGTTATTCGGTATTACAATATTGTTCCGGAAATAAATTGTCTTTTCTGATTGAACAGGAGGTAATCTCTTTCGAAGAGGAAATAAAAAAAAAATGTATGATTTTAGATTTAACGATTGCTTACTAATAAATGAACAATTATCATAGATTTTTAGAACAAATCACGCTCACTCTATATTTAAGAATGGTAGTTACAAACCCTTTTTAAATAAATACGAAGCATGTCATAAGACAGGTCCCAGAGCTTCACCCGATATCACGGTGATTTTCCGGTAACGTCTCGTAGACATAATTCGAATTATCTTTGCTATCGTGGAATACTAAAATATGTTAGCTTCCGCAAAGGGATTTAACAAATCTACCGGTTCTACACGGAAATAAAACAATTTTTAGTCTACTCGGAAATGTGTAACTAATAGTTAATTCTGATGGTATACGAGTTAACTGTGGATATATCTATATACTATAATTATAAGAATTAACTAAATGCATAACAAAAATTAAAAAAAGACAAATGTCAAAAAAAATTAAAAGAATTCGTCGTTCGCATACGAATTCTTTTAATTTTTTTTTGCTTAGAATATTGGGCCAGCAAACATTTTACAAAAAAAAAAAAAATGTTTTTCTGAATGTTAGTTTAACGCCCTGTAACTTTGTTGGGAGCCAGTTTTTGATAAAGGTAAATATAGCCAAATACACTTATTTTTTGGTAATCTATCTAAGGAAAAATTTATTACATACCTTTTTGAAACACCCTATATATTAAAAACAAAATTATCTCATGTAATAAGTATTTCCACTTTGCACCATCGATCAATACTAAATTTCCTATATGTCCAATTTTCAATACTAGGTAGACGAGGAAGACAATATTGCCTATCCCTCGGTACGAACACGGAACGTCTTGAGAAAGGATATTGTAGTCATATTTTTCATTCATTTTTATACCCGAATTTAATTTGCTGATTTAATAATTATGACTTTATATTATGTTCAATTTTAAAAATAATTTTTTGATCTTTTTAAGGAAATGATTTACTACAACTTAATAGTACCTAATCGTTTAAAGAATAATGCATGTTTGATATTGTTAATTCTCTATTAAAAGTTGCCCCTTTTTTAAAAAATTTAATAAACTTTATAATTTTTTTTTAACGAAACGGGAAATTTTTTCAAAAAGTATGCTAACCCAGGGCTAGTGCCACTTATTCTCTTTGCACATAAAAAATTATGGTATTATCTTTAAAATTGTGTCTTCTAGGATTAAACCAAAATGCCTATTTATACAAATTTCTTGCTATTGTCAGCGGTCAGCGGAGCAATAACTCTTAACAATATTACATACAATGGTAGCATACATGTTTTAGTATTTTTGATTTGCTGTAAAACTTTCTAGACAATAATGAGGCTGATTTTCACAAACAGCATAATATGTAAAGCCGTTTAGAAGGCACCTGGTGACGTGACTGATATTATGACCGATAATAAATTTCCCACTAAACCACGACACTTGTGACCGCTTTAGTTTTTGTGAAAAAAAAAAAATAAATAAAAAACAATGATAATTTTTCGTTCAGGAGTAGTTTTATCAAACATTTGTACCGATAAGTGTTTAATCAAAGAGGTTAGAAAGGATAGAGGTAACATAGGAAGCATTTCTCGCTGCGCGAATTTTGCCAAAACCGAAAAACTGGGTGAAAGGAGTAGGGAGGTGTTCTGGGCCGGACTTAAATATTTGTATTGTAGTACCTAATTTTGGTGGGTAATTAAAAGATGAAAAATTATGAGACGTTTGTTTGACTTTATTTGTTAGCACGATTCATGTATGATGAGGGCAATAACACTTTATCAATATATAACTAGCTAAGGGCCGATTCCACCGTTGTGTCAAACGAAGTTTAAATTATTAAACGAAGATTAAAATGACATTGTTAATATAAAAATGTCATTTTAAACTCCATTTAGTAATTTAAACTTCGTTTTTGTTAATATAAAAATGTCATTTTAATCTTCGTTTGGTATTTTAAACTTCGTTTAATAAAACGGTGAAAGTTTATAAGTACTTTTTGCTCGAAATACACACAAGATTTTTTCTACGATCACACCAAAATAAAATAAATAACTAAATTTTTTTAGAAATGGGTTACCTTTTCGTTCGTTATAATATTTTAAGTTTATTTGACATAGGCCTACTGTTCTAAGAGAAAAAATGTTTTGATACTTATATCCTGGTAATTATTTATGATTTAATTATTTATGGAAAATACCGTCCAATAAATTAAAATATTAGAAAGTCAATTAATAGTTATTTATGTAACCAGTTACGAAATGCCTTATTTTGTGTAACGAGTAAATATTTGGAAAACGAGCGGAGCGAGTTCCCGCAACATGAACGACTTACACAAAACGGCATTCCGTAACGTGTTTATATACAAGATTTTTTCTAATTGTGACTTGATTATTTATAAAATTGTGTTGAAAAATGATTCACCATCATTCTTAGGTACTTCCAATCAAATATTTTAGAAAATTGTTGTATTTGATTGCCCTACGACGTTTTTTTTTTTTCAATAGTAATAATAAAAATAAGGGACATGTGCAGTGTTGCCGATCTAATTTTTGACATTACCCGCGAGAAATTTGAAAAAAAAAACATTTTTACCCATTATCCTTAAAGAAGTACGTCAAAATTTTACCCCCAACATTTCTGGGCAGTTTTCAATAACGGTGTTATTTTCAAAATTAAACGCAATTTACAGCTTCTCTTTTTTTGTTTTTAAACGTAATGTCATATTTTCAAATGTGAAATGTCACTATTCATTGCCTCTTTTTCGATATTTGGTTTTTTCGATTTTTCGTTTTTTGGATTTTTGGATTTTTCAATTTTTTATTTTTAGATTTTTCGATTACTCGATTTCTCGATTTTTCGATTTCTCGGTATCTCAATTTCTCGATTTTACGATTTTTCAACTTAGAAACCAAAAAAGAGGCAGTTTTATTTTTTTTCATTTCGTAACTGGTGACATAATTAACTTTTCGTTATCAGTTGCATAATGTTCTACTTTATGCAAATGTCCATATAAATATTCATTAAATTTATTTAAGCCAAAAATTATTGCAAGGATCTCTCTTTCAATTTGAGAATATTTTTGTTCGGACTTTGATAAGGTATGCGAAGCAGAAACTATAGATTTCTCAATATTTTTTTTTTTTTCAAAAACATGACATATCATGGCCCTTATTCCCACATTTGATGCATCTACGAATAATTTAATCGGCTGAAAATGCACAAGAGCATCATTTATTTTTGATTTATTCCAAAGATTCCTGGCATAAATTATCCCAAATCTATTTCACCCATGAAAAATTAAATAAGAAAAAGTCCTAAAGCAAAATCATATCCTCCTTCCTGTTAGTGACTTAAAAAAATTACTTCCCAAAAAACGGTCCTCAAGCCAGGTCCCTCCATTTTGTGGCGCTAGTACTGTTTTTTTTTTTATTGTGATTATGTTCTTCGGGGAAACTTTGGCTTTACACTTAGAGTAACACTATTATAGAGAATTACTAAATAAATAGTTTTGAGAAAACTATTGAAACTAGTTGTGAAGTTTGAAACGAATAAATTGACAATGAAATTGATATTTTTGTATTTGATTGTGTTTCTCTTTTCACTTCCTAAAAAAAGATTCCCTATGAAACAAGAAATAGTAAACAGTTTACAATAATAACCTTTATTTGCTACTTATAAAATGTACCAATGACCAAGTCCGATTCTGTTTATTTTCAAATCAACAAATATGGACGTCGACAGAATCTTTAAAAATTAAATATCTCACCGAAATAAATATAAGTTTCTTTTATCTCCGTCACATTTCGCAGGTTTATTATAAATAAAGCTTTTTACAACACATCTTGGCATTTTCAACGTTAATTTCCAAAATTTAAGTCACTAAAATACCAAATTAATTCTCGTTGACACATTAAATTTGGATGGACAACGGTCTGACATGTGATGTTCTCAACTGTGATTGGTGGGTGTGAATCATTTTGAAATGGGATTATGCGCAGTGTCTTATGTTCCATCTAAGGTTTGTATAATCTAAGTGTTTAATTAATTTAAGAAAATTACATTTTTGAAATAGCACATTAGGCGTGGCGCTTAATGTTTTAAAGGGATATTCTTTCGCATGGATGTTATGTTATGTTGAAAATGGGGTGTTAATACACTGCTACCTAAAAGATTTATTGTGCCCCCTTCTATCGCCAATGCACTAAGGAAATGTCTCAATGCCTATAACGACCCTTCCAATCCTATTTCCTCAAGAAAGTGTAGGATTTGAAGTGGCTTCAAGTTAGGTAAATCTCCCTTTTCTATTTGATATCCTCCTAGATATAGTGCCCTTGGATTCTGGAGTGCTACACATTCAGTTAGGATGTGAATGGAGGTTTCGTCCTCCTCCTCACGGAATCTGCACTCACTATCATCTACTACTCTCAGTTTACTTAGGTGTCCTTTTAGTCGGCAATGCCCGGTAAGGATCCCTGTTACAATACGTAGCCTGTTCTTGCTCAGGCAGATGTAGGCTTCCGATCTTTTCTGGTTATATTCACCCAGAAGTATCTTGGCCTGTCTCAGTCCCAAAAGATTGTTCCAATTATCGGTTTTTCTACTGCCCAATTCTTTTTTAATCTCTACGAATATTGTGTTACTGCTGATACCGCAGAACGGCTCAGGTCCTACAAAGGGTGTTTGAGCCCCTTTCCTTGCAAGACTATCTGCAATCTCGTTACCCTGTACCTCGTTATGCTCCGGGACCCAAGTGAGAGTAACTCTATTTTTCTCGCCTAGCTCATTCAATTGTTCTAGGCATCTCCAGACCATTTTTGAGCTGATTACGTAAGAGCCCAGCGCTTTGATGACTGCTTGACTATCGGACGATGATAATCTCTTGTCTATGATAGTTTCTCTCGATGTTAAACTGGCTACACTTCTCGATGGCGTGAATTTCCGCCTGGAAGATACTTGGGTATTTTCCCAAGCTTTCGGAGTGCTTGGTTCTCGGCCCATACACTCCTATTCCAGTTCCTTCTATGGTTTTGGAACCGTCCGTATACCACTGAATAGCACGTCTTTCGGTTGCAAGCGAGATGGATTCTTGGCTCCCATCTTTCTTGCAGCGCAGCTCTGTGGTTTTGAAGTTTTTCACAAAACTGTACTTTTTTAGCATTTCATCCTGGGGCATGTCCCAGTATCTTTAGTCCCGAAGCAAGTAGACTTTCGTCTGATTACTTCATTCCTGATCATTCGCATGGATAAACGGTGATAAAATAATAAATGCTTTCAATTATCGGATCTTTTTTTATTTTTAAAGTGCGGATCTGTTTCGTTTAAAAATTATCATACTTTTCGTATTTGCAAAAATTTCGCGAGATTAACTTAAAGAGTGTAATTGAGCGTTTTTATTCGAAGTTTAGAATTTCAGTGTGTTTTGACAGTGATTTAAGGGTTTATCCGATTTGCAGTCATTGGGAATATATTTCTGAATTTGTCTTTTTTATTAAAGGTTTCTTTTGTTTACGTTTCTTTTCTTTAACTCTATGAATATAGAATTAGTGGATATTTATATTATTAATCAATAGTTAATATGCCACTGATTAATTTTGTAGTTGATTTGAACTTTAATGAATGTGTTTAATAAATTGTTCCATCAAGAAGTTACAATTAAAACTAGCTTAAGGTTGGTATACTTACTTGAAATAAGTGAATCTTGAACGATGGACGTCGACATATTGTTAGGCACGGATATCGTATACTATCGTTTAAGATGAACTCTGCATGTGTCGATGCAGGTGGGTAAAGGTATTTTTCTAAGCACTGTGCAACCTAAATAATAGAAATCGGGTATAGCGAAATTTTAAGCTTAGATTTTTAAAATGCCTGGTCCCAAACAAATTGTGTTTTAGTATAAGTAGAGAGATGACTTTATTTAAATATTGCCTAATCCTTTTTTTTTGCGAAATTGGAAACGCTTGTGGCAGGGAAAGCTTTATGTGAAAAAATGGGTCGACAGTATATATTTTTTTATATTTGATACGCCTCTTCCACCTCCCGACCTCCTAATTTTTTATTCAAAATTGGAAACGCAGAACTTGACAGTATTTTTTTTATAATTTTTGATAAACACCTTACACCGATCCAATAAGATAAGTATGCTTAAGAATATTTACAATGGGACAATTTACATGTGAATTATCCAAAGTGTTGTTATGATTTTTTAGTTCAAATAAATTAAATTATCAGTTTTTTCAACCTAGATTTCATAATTACCATTAACAAACGACTTAAGAGAATATTACGCACCAAAAAAGCAAAGAATCTAGAATAAAGTACTAACAAAAGCTCATATTACCGAAAATATGACATAAGTACTTTTACTCTAAAACCACATATTTATTGATCTAATTTATATGGATAATATTTATGTGTATTTTACAATCTTTTAACTTAAATTGACTTTCTAACGACAAAACAGTCTATTTATACTGTTACGCAGGTTTTTGGTATCTTTATTAGAGAGTTACTGCAAGTTCACTTAAGGTCAGTCATTATTAGTGTCGCTCTAATTTTGACATCTAAGCATGCGCATATTAAATATTTAATATATTTGTCCTCTAATCCGTCTAAAAGTATAATTTCTAATGTCTTTTCAATATTAGGTACTATTATAGACAACAAAAAAGATGAACTGTAATTTAAATTTTTTAAAATGAGGTTAGAAATATGTATAAGGACAATAACTCTAATTTAAAAATTTCAGGTTCGCAATAAGTCTTAGTTTAGCATGGAATTTATTTGCTTCTAATAACGTTGTCACTATTAGTGACTGACGTTATAGAAATTTGCAATATCTCTCTATTATGTCTATCGTTTTTTTTAATCTGACTCATGGCTATCGGTTTTTTTAATCTGACTCATGGCTATCGGTTTTTTTAATCTGACTAGGCCAATATATTATTTAAAATCAGCAATTATGCAAATTTTTTGTTTTCTAATTGTACCTAAATAAATTTCTGCACTTTCTTTTTTACCGTATTTATTTATTTATTTATTACTAATTTTGAGATCTTACCTGAGTACAAGTGAAAATACAACAAACGAATAATACAATAAATTTAATGAGTTGAGAAGGTTCTTTGAAACACTTTTTTTCGGGAATTATCCCCATTGTGCCAAAACTTCATGAATCTTCCAACACATAAATTGCTTTGTTTTGTATTTAGATTGCCATTAGTTATCGGTTGTAAAGTAACCCATAAACCGTTGCAATAAAGTATATTTATCAGCTTTTATAATGTCAGATAGGAGTCTTATTGGTAATATTTAATATTCAGGACTTAATACATCTAAATATTATAAATCAGTAATAAAATTGTATTACTAAAATAATGTCATGATGTGATATATTTTTGTTGTTGTTTTTTTTTATTAATGATAAACAGATTTATGATAAAGCATAAAATTCTGTTATAATAATAATAATAATAATAATAATTTTCGAATAGTTTTTAACAACAGAATTGAAATAAATATTTCTTTAAAGATTTTCAACGAATAATGGACAATCAAGTATCATCAATTTCTCGATATTCTATTCAACACCCAATGTTATGATCTATACTTTTAGTTAATAATAACTATCAATCTTCATTATGTGCTTAAGTGATAGCTAATAATCATATTTAGTACATTTGAAAGGAGCTGTACAACAGTATCAATCAACATTTTTTTCACAACAAAATTACTTGATTCCAGTGTACCCAACAGCTATGTAATTTTTGGTTATCCTTCAAACCTGTTTTTCATATATTTTTCAACTTCGTTATAGCTTGATTCTTTACCATTTCATTTGAAGGTATAAATATTTAGTAGACAAACTTGTCATGTCATTGACTTTGTACTGTAACTCTAAATTATTGAGCTGCTCTATTGTATTAATCTGTGATATAATCTATTGAATATAACTTCTGCTAGGGTACTCAACAAGTTGTCAAATGATAATGGACCCAACATTTGTAAGGCGAGGATAAGAGAGAGATAGACAAGGGGTATGGAAAAGTACTATATTTAAAAGTTCCCCGATTTTTTTCGCGCATGAGTAATGCTATATGGTCTAAAAACGGAAAAGGAGGATTAAATTAATTTTTGACAGCGTTTCGTGCATTGGCTGATGTGATTATCGATAATTGCTCGGAGATCGATATAAGTCACATACTTTGATTACTATACGAGGCAAGAGAGAGGTCCGACACGCCCAACATAGGGCGCGGCCATTTTGAACCCTGTGACACAGTTTACAGCTAAAGAATCAGATCGCTCACTCTGCGTCGGCACTTTTGATCTCAATGTTTCAGTTTATACACTGTGCAACTCGTATAATACAATATATGACAACCTCCTATAATAAAACAGCAGTCTTCTGCGTATTCTGAATTTGTATCCCTGGAGTGGATGTTATTTTGTAACTTTCAACTGGTCCGAGTGAGCTAACTGATTCTTTAGCAATAAACTGTGACTTCAAAAATAATATTCACTGACACTGGCAGCAGCAAGCAAAATATCAGGTGCGTTTTAATCATCCGCTTCTGCTTCCGGAATTGTCGGTTTAGTCGTTTTAACCTGTCAGATTAAAACAAGAAAACCGACAATTTCGAAGCAGAAGCGGATGATTAAAACGCACCTATTAAAAATATTGCGCCAAGATGTAGGCAACACGTAATAAGGGTTCAAAATGGCGGAGTTTTCTATCTCCTTTTAAAAGGCACTCAGAAAGCTGCGCAGTGCGACCATTCTCCGTATAGTAAAAGAAAATCAAAGTATGTGATATAAGTCTAATATAATTTTGACAGATAATTACGGTTTTACTGTGTTGCATATCAAAGTATGCCGAGAGACCTTTCCCTTTATTAGGCATTCCAACGACCTGTCCAAATGGCTACCAGTGGGTAATGACAGTTTAGATATGGCAACCCTGTTGTCATGTTGTTATTAACAGGGTCAATGATACATATATAGTTATATAGATTGCTCAAAGCTGGCAAATATTTATTAATTTGAATCGGTTTAGAAAAAATGTGTTTTAAAACTAATTTTTAGCCTTTAGACATTAAAAAAAATAATTGCTTACATTTTTACTTCAAGGCATAAGCTTATGTTTATTTTGAAAAATATGGATGATCAATCTATGTAACTATCTATTTCATTGACCTTGTCAAATCACCAGGCCTACAGGGTTGCCATAATTTTGCTATATCATAACCCGTCAAAACCCACTGGTAGCCATTCAGTTTGGAATGCCTAATTGATGATCTTTGTAACATTTTCTACATCAGCTTAAAATTATTAAAATTTATTGCTATTATTTTTTTGTAGGTTGTGGAGTTAGACGCCTGAGAATATAAAAATGTATTTATTTGATTTCAAAAAATAAACTAATAAATATGAGTAACTTCTGTCTTGTTCAGTTATCGTCAATGTTTTTTATTTAATTCTTCCTGTTTTATTCTTCTCCATATCAACAAACGTTAAGGCTCGACGAATCAGGATGTACTTCAAAAGACATCAATCCGATATACGTGCCTAAGGCTTAACATAATTAAAACTAAAAACATTTTGTACTTTTTTATATACCAAATTATGCAATTTGTTTCCACTTTATTTTAATGTTACATGAATAGGTACATGCGTTTGTGCTGTGGTAAATAAGTGTTCATGTGAAAATTATATCTTAAACTACATTGTGACTGCACTCATCTCGAAACTGAATGCTGTAAATCCAGGATTTAAATCTTTCATAGTATTGCTTGGGATAAATTGTAAAAAATGTGTTGGACAAAACGTTTACAACCTAAAATTGCATGAAAAACACGATAGAAGAAGGAATTTTACCTTTATGACATTCTCTTTCAACATTTTTAAGTGACTTTGTGGTTTAGTGAATGGACTGTTACCACAGTAAAAAGATTCAAAGTAAAAAAAGTGACCAAGTTCTAATAAGAATACATAAGTTGAATATGAAAATGTAATTACTTGATTTAAATGTGATTTAATTAAGAGTTACATAGATGCTTCATATAAACAAAGTGCTGTAAAATGTTAATAAATGCAAAACCATTATTAAAGAGAAATTAGTTATCATCAATAAGATATTTTGTAGTAGCTGGTCTCTATAAATAATAAACTTAAAAGACTGAACAAAAAAAAAAATGTGTGGTTGAGACTAATTTGTGTATTTAATAAAAACATATTTAACATAAAAGCAGGTGTTATTTGAAATGTTTTATTTTAGTTTAATAATCTTTATAAATTGTGGGTACATTTGATCCGAATCTTGCAAATACTATAAAATGCATATGCTTCTATATGGTTAGTATTGGAGTAGAAGCACAAAAGTTTTGAATAAAAATATATTCTTTAAATACAATATTCACTAGATATGCTAATTTTGGTAATTTTCTATTCAAAACCATACATGTTTTCTATTATAGTTTTCATATGTTTATAATTCTGGAGATACAGGAATATTTTGCTTGATTACTAAACTTTGGATGTTTTTGTTGTAGTCTGCTGTTTACACTATTGTCCTGAAATATTTAAAAAAGCTAGACAAAGGTTTGTCCAACTCTTTTGTCAGCTTTGTTAATCTATGCTACTGTTATTCTGCATGCAGACATTTTTTACTGGAGATTTTCTCTAAGAACTGTATTCAGTTTCAAATTTCGGCCAGTTTTAGGAAAGTACCTCTGTTGTAAAGGTATTTCAAAGCCAACCTTTGTGAGATGTAGACAACAAATACATGCTAAAATGTATAGAAAACAAATCGCAAGATAATACACAAAATTATTTAAATTAACTAAAAACATACAAATGAAGTGAATAATACCAACCAACAATTTAAAAAGACCTAAAATAAATAGACTTAAGGGACTGGAGCCCTAAAAAAGGGAGCAATAATTTGTTATGCATCATCTATAAGAAAATTGTCTTCATCTCTTCAATTACATTTTAAAATAAACAAAACCAAAACAGCACAAAATTGAAAGTGATCTACTTTTCCCGACGTATTCTATGTACATCTGAGATTAATAATTTATTAAATTGAAATATTTTATCCTAAAAAATATGGGCATTTTATAATGGAAATGTCATTTAAAAATTGACATTGATTTTTTTTCTTATATTGGTAAACCTGGCGACTACAAGTTACCACGTTGCCAGATCAATGGCGACTACTATGTGACTACTATTTCGAAAAAAATGGCGTCCAAAATGGACTCCTATGTCGCGACCCCCTTAGATATACCAGCCCTGCCTAAAAGTAAGAAAAGTCTTAAACTGAAATGACATGTAAATCAAAACTAATAGGGTTTTCGACTGGCCACACCACATACTTTGATTTTCTTTTACTATACGGAGAATGGTCGCACTGCGCAGCTTTCTGAGTGCCTTTTAAAAGGAGATAGAAAACTCCGCCATTTTGAACCCTTATTACGTGTTGCCTACATCTTGGCGCAATATTTTTAATAGGTGCGTTTTAATCATCCGCTTCTGCTTTGGAATTGTCGGTTTTCTTGTTTTAATCTGACAGGTTAAAACGACTGAACCGACAGTTCCGGAAGCAGAAGTGGATGATTAAAACGCACCTGATATTTTGCTTGCTGCTGTCAGTGTCAGTGAATATTATTTTTGAAGTTACAGTTTATTGCTAAAGAATCAGTTAGCTCACTCGGACCAGTTGAAAGTTCGAAAATAACATCCACTTCAGGGATACAAATTCAGGATACGCAGAAGACTGTTGTTTTATTATAGGCGGTTGTCATATATTGTATTATCCGAGTTGCACAGTGTATAAACTGAAACATTGAGATCCAAAGTGCCGACGCAGAGTGAGCGATCTGATTCTTTAGCTGTAAACTGTGTCACAGGGTTCAAAATGGCCGCGCCCTATGTTGGGCGTGTCGGACCTCTCTCTTGCCTCGTGTAGTAATCAAAGTATGTGGGCACAACGCATTATTTTCGCGTAAAAAAAATAATACTGTTTTAGGGGCGATAAACTCATTTTCCTCTTTTAAATCACCTGGAGAGGATGGCATATTATCCTGCTACCCCTCCTTGTGAGGCTGTTGAGAGTAAGCCTAGCGTGTAGCTATATCCAGCTAGGATGTACGATGGTGAAAGTCGTGCATATACACAAGGCTAGTAA